AAAATTAGTACTTTCATAAGTGGAAAAGGTACTTCAATTACTGCTACAAGCAACGGCACACCATAAAATGTGTAGAATAATTTCCCTTATGCATATTTCCAGTATGTAATAATTTGATTGAAAATATGAAGAAACACACAGGAGGTTCAGAATCGTTGTGCACATACAGTTCTCAACTACATATAATAACTGAACGTAGAAGATACGGGTTTTTCCAAAGGCCGTTTCCTGAGCAGAAATCTCAGGCTGGGCCCCATTCTGCTTCCTGGGTTACCACGGACAAGTTCAAATAGCTTAAAAAAGAGCTTCGAATATCAACCGTAAGGAAATCTTATGTGCCTCCTGCATGCTCCCAAGCCCGGAACAGGGAATATCTCCAATTGCGGGGCATTCAGCCTATTCAACTAAAACGAAATAGTGGCCCAAGATAATATTGCTGGCAATTTAAGGTACTGGGGGAATGAACAAGAATTTAAGAAGAAAGATCTTAAAATAAGATAGCAATACAGTAAAGAGTAACCATTATGGACACCGCTGTAAAATAGCGTCATGGTTTACAACCTATACTGTAGCTGTGTTTGCTTTCACCCATGGCATTACAATGCACGTCTGCAGCTGGAAACACACCATCTAGAGAGGCAAAGAAGAATAGCTAAAGTAATCTCCAGCCCTTCCTCCCCCCCTTTTTTTGTCCTCCCAAATTTTTATTTTATTTTTATTTATTTATTTATTTGTCAAGCATATATAAGATAACAGGTAAAAGTATACACATAATTTGAATACATGAAAAGAGCAAGAGTAAAAAGGAATATTAGGACAGGGACGGTAGGCACGCTGGTGCACTTATGCACGCCCCTTACAGACCTCTTAGGAATGGGGTGAGATCAACAGTACAGTTTAAGGTTAAAGTTTTGGGGGTTTGGGGAAGAAACTACAGAGTCAGGTAGTGCATTCCAGGCATTGACCACTCTGTTGCTGAAGTCATATTTTCTGCAATCGAATTTGGAGCTGTTTACCTTGAGTTTGTATCTATTATTTGCTCGTGTATTGTTGTGGTTGAAGCTGAAGTAGTCATTGACAGGAAGGACATTGTGACAGATAATTTTATGCACTATGCTTAGGTCAGACTGAAGTCGGCGTAGTTCTAAATTGTCTAAGCCCAAAATTTGAAGTCTGGTGGCATAAGGTATTTTATGGTGGGTAGAGAAATGGAGGACCCCTCTCATAAAATATCTCTGGACTCTCTCAATTATATTTATGTCCGATATGCAGTGCGGGTTCCAGACAGATGAGCTGTATTCAAGAATTGGTCCAGCAAATGTTTTGTATGCTCTAGTTCAGTGATGGCTAACCTTTTTGCCATTGTGTGCCAAAAGCAGGGGGACCGCAAGGGGGGGGTCACACACGGGCACGCCCACACCCATATCTTTCTTGGAGCCTGGAGAGGGTGAAAACGCCCCCCCCCGGAGGCCCTCTAAAGGCCAGAAACAACCTGTTTCCCAACTTCCAGTGAGACCAAAAGGCCCGTTTTTTGCCCTCCCCAGGCTCCAGAGGCTTTCTAGGAGCCTGGGGAGGGCAAAAATGGCCTCCCCCCCACCCCGGAGGCCGGAAACAGCCTGTTTCCTGACTTCCAGTAGGCCTGGAAGGCCTGAAAATTAGCTGGCTGGCGCGCACATGCATGCTGGAGCTAAGGTAGGGCAATGCTTGCGTGCCCACCGATATGGCTCCGCGTGCCACCTGTGGCACGCGTGCCATAGGTTCGCCATCACGGCTCTAGTTAGTAGTACAATATTACCAGAGAAGAAGCTACGCAAGATTAGGTTAACAACTCTTAATGCCTTTTTGGCAATGTTGTTACAGTGGGCTCTGGCACTCATTAAACTTATTAATCTTTCCCTCATTAAACTTAGTACTAGCAACAACCACCGAGACCTCTAGGTATTTTGCAGTAAAATTATTAATGAAAATCTGCATATTAAAGTATAGACATTAATGAAAAAGGAGAGACAGAAAGGAAGCTAAGAGACACCATCCCGCCCTCAGGCAGCCTTTGGGCTTCGGGCATAAGGAGCCGCTCCTGCCGATTTCAAGGAATGTCAGCATCCGGAAGGAGACTTTTTAGGCAACTGGGTGAGATCATGAAGACCCGTAATAAAGCCTCCACCGAATGGAGTTATCGTGAGGGGCTCTAGGGAAGTTCATGATTGTTCCTTGAGGAACCATTATGGGGTGAGAGTTCAATCCTTACTTTCCACAATAGTCCAAACATGATTTAATAGAATTGAATCTATTAGTTGGACAAGTTTAGCACTTTCTTTCTTTCTTTCTTTCTTTCTTTCTTTCTTTCTTTCTTTCTTTCTTTCTTTCTTTCTTTCTTTCTTCCTTCCTTCCTTTCCTTTCCTTTCTCTCTTTTTTCTTTCTCCCTCCCTTTCTCTTTCTCTCTCTCCCTATCTTTCTTTCTCTCTCTTTCTTTTTCTCCCTTCTTCCTTTCTTCCTTCCTTACCTTCCATCCATCCACCCACCCACATCTCTATAATTTCATTTTGCGACCCTTTATTGATCGGGATTCCATGTGCACAGTCACTCATGCCCTCGTCACCTCTCGCCTGGACTACTGCAATTGTCTCTACATGGGGCTCCCCTTGAAGAGCACCCGGAGGCTCCAACTGGTCCAGAATGCGGCTGTGCGGGTAATTACGGGAGCTGCATGGCGCTCCCACATAACACCACTCCTGCGCGAGCTGCACTGGCTCCCAGTGGTCTTCCGGGTGCACTTCAAGGTGTTGGTTACCACCTTTAAAGCGCTCCATGGCATAGGACCTAGTTATCTTCGAGACTGCCTGCTGCTACCGACAACCTCCCATCGACCCGTGCGCTCCCACAGAGAAGGCCTCCTCGGGGTGCCATCAGCCAAACAATGTAGGCTGGTGACCCCCAGGGGGAGGGCCTTCTCTGTGGGGGCACCTACCCTATGGAACCAGCTGCCCCCTGAGATAAGGAGAATCCAAGACCTTGGTGCCTTCCGCCGTGCCTTTAAAACTTTCTTTTTTCATCAAGCCGGGCTGGCTTAACATATTTTTTAATTTTTAATTTTTAATTGGTTTGTCATTTTAAACTGGGGCCAAATTAATATATATTCTTTTAATTGTTCTTAATGTTTGTATTGTATGTTTTTATCTGGCTGTACACCGCCCTGAGTCCCTTGGGAGAAGGTGCGGTATATAAATTTGAAATAAAATAAATAAATAAAATAAATTTTGGAGATGGCTTTTTTACCGTACATTCTGACAGAAAAATACACGTTGAAAGATCCTCATAACTGCAGTCCCCTTCCAGTGTCTCTAATAATTAATAACAGAAATTTGGGAGCTAGGCTGCTGCATTTCTGCTGGAATTGAGAAAAATTGTGCAATTTTATATTCTGCGAAACAAGACTATCCCAAAGAATTCTTAAGAATAAAAGTTCATCTATAAAAGGAGTAACCTTCACTTGTATAATGAGGGGTGAGAAGGGATGAAATGTCTTATGGTTATTATCTGTGAGTCCCAAGCAGGTGTCCATTTTGGAACCGCCCTCTGGAGCTCACAGGTGGGGGCCATTTTTCCATCTCTCCTCTCGAGACTTTGCTCCTCGAAAACTGACTGCAACAATGAAAAGAAATGGGAACCTTTCCCATGACACACGCAGTCACCCTCCAGCTAGAACAGCGATAGGACCCAGGAGGGGAGGGAAGCTTCCAAGCGTTTCCCAGGGGAAAGGGAGACAAAAGCTTTAGGGAAATTCTCAACACCACAAGGAGGGCCCAAGGGGGCCCCACGGCAACAGAGAGAGGACTGAGTTGTGACCAGGGGCCACACGTGTACATGCAGTTGCCTTCTGAATGCTTCGAGCAACGCTGATCACCAATGTGGAGAACCGTGACATCGCCAAAATTATAGAAATCAAGAAAAACAGTCTGTAAATAAGAAAATTTAAATATGTGCTACCATAACTTTAAAAGGAGCCCGAAGCACAGAAAGAGTCCAATAGGAATCTGTATCTTCCAAGTGGACTGTGCCGTTTTGTCTCCTTGTGAACGCACCAGTGGTTGGAGAGCAACCACATAATGTCAGCCGACAAAGCAGCCTCTAGTTCAGAGATCTTAGTTTGCACAAGTGAGTGTGAGCGTGCTTGGGATAAAACTAGGCTTTGGTTGTGATGAAAGGGCAACAGAGCTGATTGGCATAGTCTTTCATGTTAGCAGGGAATGTTGCACGGATACACTTTGACTAAGGAGCTGGTAAACTAGTCTACTCTTCCCTTCTCTTATGGAAAAATCATTTTTCCTGCAGCTCTGAAAAGGGACCAGTCTCCTCACTTAGCAGGAAGTCACTTGATACCTTCAGAAGACTAGCTCAATTTTTGGAATTGCTATTGCTATTAGACACTTGATGGCTGTTGTGTTTCTCTGCTTTGGTAAGGAAATACCTAAGTACCTATCTCTGAAAGGATGACCCAGTAAGTCACAGGTTGTCTTCTTTTATTGAGAGAGTCACTTGGGCTCTTTCCATCCAACTTACCCCAACAGGATGCTATGAAAATGAAACTGATGTCGATGCTGGTATACGAGAAAGCAATAAAATGTGTACAGTACATGGCCTTAAACTCTTTAGATGAAAAATGGATGAACAAGGAGCAATTCAATTCTGCAGGAGCTGCCATGGACACTGAGAGTCAAAGAAAGGATGTCTAGTATGCAGACCCTCCCCAAACCATCCCGAGAGGAAAGAAAGAAGAAAGGAAAGGAAAGGAAAAGGAAAAGGAAAAGGAGGGGAGGGGAGGGGAGGGGAGGGGAGGGGAGGGGAGGGAGGGAGGGAGGGAGGGAGGAGGGAGGGGAAGGAAGGAAGGAAGGAAGGAAGGAAGGAAGGAAGGAAGGAAGGAAGGAAGGAAAAGAGGGAACCAAATTCACACATTAGATAACCAACAGAAAGTAAGGACAAATCTCTACAGTGCTACTCACCAAGGTGACCTTCCTTTGTGGTTTCAGAAGTTTAGGCTTTGAGAAGGCGTGGGATATTGGTGCTGTAAAAATAAGGACAGATCGTTTGCCTCTTGCTGCAATATGAATGTAAGAGTGAAATGCACAAAAACGAACATCTGCCACTCATTCAGCCTCCCTGCAGCTGGCCAGGCTGCCCCTCCGTGTGCTATTTTGCATCTCCCAAGATGCCTCGGGTTCTCATGTGCTTCCTTGGCAGTCCAGGGCCTCTTTTCCCCACCCGTGGCCGTGGCTTTGGTGCAAACTCAGCTGGGTGAAATGGAAAGGCTGCATCCCGAACAGTTGCTGATCGTCCATTCAGGGCGATTTGGAAGTCATATAAAAATGAGGAATAAAAGTTCTGGGAGATGGAAAAAGGAACAGGGCACCCCAGAAGAATGCAGCCCCTTACCTACAATAAAAGAATTAGGATACAATGTAAGGGTTGGAAGGGATCTTGGGAGACCATCCAGCCCAACCTCCTGCCAAGGCAGGAATCCTCTTTGCCAGCATGCCTGGCAAATGGCCACTTGCTTAAACAGTCAGCGAAGGAAAGATCCTTCCTTTGGGAAACCCCCGTCAGTCCTCCAGAGTCAAAGTGCTCGTGATCTCACGAATACCTTTGGCAGGAACGGCTGGGGGTGCCTCGGTCGCCTTTGCCCCTTTCCTCTGGATGGGGAGCCCTGGAGACCCGGCTGCCTTGCTGGGGCTCCCTGTGTCTTGCAAGCTGGGAGGGAGAGAGAGGGGAGAGGGGGGGAGAGATGTGTGTTTGCCAGGTGGACTGGTAATATTTGCTGTCTTACCAATTCATTTGATCTACTTAATTCATTTATTTATGCATTCAAGCAAATAAAATGGAGAGAGTATGTTTGTGTGGGGGAGAGTAATCAAAATCTTTTATAATTGGGATAACAAAAATATAGCCTGGAACAGTATAACTAGTATAAGAGTAATTCACATTCACCCAAACCTCTGGCGCGTTTTCAGCCTGGCACAGCCTTTATCTCACACACAAAAGGTTAGTCCTGCAAGTAATCCACACACTAAGAGCAAAAGTAGCCTCATCAACAACTAAATCTAATCTGAGGCAGGTCAAAGGATGATTGTTCAAGGCACAGTCATCCTCACTAAACATAACAAAGGAAGAAAAACTATGTCACGCCTACGAGAGCCAATTCATACCACCGTTGGCACTTCAACTAGGGCAAATAGCAATAACCATGTTTAGCTTTTAAGACTCACTCTCCCACGTAGGTTTTTGTTTTTTAATGTTGTACACCGCCTGGAGTAATGGTATCTGAGTTGGGTGGCTATATAAATTTGTTTAATAAAAAATAAATAAAAATATATCAGCAAGGAGGACACTAAGGAAATACGCGGCCCGTTTTCAACAATGGATGATTATCGGTGCTCTTTGGAAATCTACATTCCTCCTTCATGGATTTTTTGGCGTTGATTAAAAGGCACTCAATATAATTTCCAGGACTTAAAATATATTTTTCTCAAGCTAGGAGGACAACTAAAGTTAATGACATTTTTGTAGAAAAATTAAAGCTTGCAGCTCTCAAAAAGAAGCTTCTTCTCCTACCTCTTCTGAGGAGACTTCACCAAGGTATGTTTCACTGTGAAAAGAATACAGAAATAAGAAAAAACAGAAATTAAGAAACGTATCGCTGTGTATAGTAATTTTCACTTGCATGTGATTTCTGGTCAGTTTGTTTTCTTTGTTCGTTTAAAACACTGCAGGACAAATTATCTATCAAATTTAGATACCACCCATCTCACTCTCTGAGCCACAGTGATGTAGTGGTTAGAGTGCAGTACTGCAGGCTATTTCTGCTGACTGCTGGCTGCCTGCAATTTGGCAGTTCAAGTCCCACCAGCTCATGGTTGACTCAGCCTTCCATCCTTCCGAGGTGGATAAAATGAGAACCCAGATTGTTGGGGGCAAATATGCTGACTCTGTAAACTGCTTAGAGGGGGCTGTAAAAGCACTGTGAAGCGGTATATAAGTCTAAGTGCTACTGCTATTGCTATCTAAGTGACTCAGGATGGTTTACAAAGGTCAGTTTGAAAGAAGCAAAGTCAAAGATCTCTTGATTATTTAATATTAGATATAAGTATTTTGAGCGTAGTCAAAGAGAAATTTACAGAACATTCAAAGATAAAAATTGAATAAACAAACAAACAAAAATGCAGAATTAGTAAATTCAGTGACAATATACCAATATTTAAATTACAGATGAATTACAGAAATCTTTTATATTGACAATGGACTCACCGTGGGATCGTTTCTTGTTGCTCAGGATCTGGCAGAGGATGACCAGAGCGAAGAGAAGGATACTCAGGATCCCTGCCGAGCTCATCAGGACCGCGTAGACAGAGAGGTCTGGAGAGGCCAGGAGAGGAAACACGAGTCAGCTGGGAGGCGCCCCTCGCCCCCCCCCCCCGGGTCTCAAAAGGCATGGAGGTTTAGTAGTGGAGCTCTTGGTCTACTCCCAAGTGCACAGGACTGTGTCACCCTAAGCACACCTCCATTTCTGCTGTGGCTTATGTAAAATGTGGAGCCGATGACCAATTTAATGGTTTGTATCTTTCCATACATGCATAATCTGTTAACATTTTACATTGCTGAGTTTTAATGTGTCCTGATCTTTGATTGCAAAAAATGTTACTGTATTTATTTGACTTTACATGGTAGTTTTGTTTTGTTTCCCCGTGTATTCCAGGGATAAATAATTCTCTGATCCAAATGCTGCAGGTAAGTCAGTGTATTAAGCTGAGATTCAGAAAGAGGAAAGCAGCAATCTCTTTATATAAGCTGTAGCTTTTAGAGTTTTGTAACTTATTGGAGGTGGACCCCTTAAGATTCTTGTGTGCATGTCTGTGTGTCTGTATTGTAGCTTTGATATCTCCCTTCTGAAAGTCTACTTAGCTTAGTCCATTTAACTTTTTTTTTAAAAAAACTCTTTATATTTAAACATTTTAAACATGTATTCCAGGGTGAAATGCTACCGGTTCGGGGTGGTTCTCCCGAACCAGTAGTGAAAATGCTACTGGTTCGCCTGAACCGGTAGTAAAAAAATGTTTTAATAAGGAAACAAAAAGTTCCCATGATTGCGCGGCACAGCTGATCATCTGAACTTTTTTTTACTTTTTTTAAAGCATTTTTTACTACCGGTTCGGGCAATAGGTAGTTCAAAAATGCTTTAAAAAAGTAAAAAAAAAAAAAGGTTCTGACAATCAGCTGTGATAATCAGCTGTGCTGCACAATCCTCCCAACTTTTTTTTTGTTTACTTTTTAAAGCATATTTTTACTATCTATTGGGCTTCCATTTTTGCTTCCTGGAGGCTTCCCTGAGGCCTGCTAGGCTAAAAATGGGTGGTGGTGGGGTGCTGAGAAAGAAAGAAAGAAAAAGAAAGAAAGAAAGAAAAAGAAAGGAAGGAAGGAAGGAAGGAAGGAAGGGGGAGGGAGGGATGGGAGAAAAAAAGGGAGGGAAGGGAGAAAGAAAGAAAGAGGGAGGGAGGGAGGGCAGAAAGAAAGAAAGAAAGAAAGAAAGAAAGAAAAGAAAAGAAAGAAAGAAAGAAAGAAAGAAAGAAGCAAGGAAGAAAGAAAGAAAAGAAGGGAGGGAGGGAGGGAAAAAGGAGAGGAAGGAAGGACCACAAACCTGGCACTAGACGCAGCTTCAGAGGATATCTTGAAAGAGCACAGCAATCTAGGGCTGGAAGGGACCTGGAGGTCATCTAGTCCAACCCACTGCTCCAGCAGGACATTGTTAAAGTGAGTTTGACCCCCCCAGTCATATGACTACATAGCCATGCCCACCCAGTCACATGACCCCCACCAAGCCATGCCCACCAAGCCACGCCCACAGAACTGGTAGGAAAAAAGTTTAGATTTCACCACTGATATATTCCCTTACCAATATCTTGCCTTTTTATTTTTAAACTGTTAAAAGTTAATGTGTTTCAGTTTATCCATTTATTGATTTTTTTCCATTTTTTCTTGTCTCACAAAAATACTGGTTTTGCTTTTTAGACAAGCAGTTTTTATACCCATGTTATCTTTAATAGCCTTTTGGAATGTTAATGGCCAGAGAAGGCTAAGAGGAAAAGGACCTTTTCCAAATTGAGCGATACAACATCCAAATTTCCTGGAAGCAACTCATAATCTTCCTGATAAGAAGTTTTTGTTTTTAATTAATCAGATGGATAGGCTAAATATACAATTGCAGTAATTGAAACCAGCTAGAATAATGATTATAAATAATAAATTCTCAAATTTGATTACATCTGATACTATTTTTAAATATTGATTATTATGCTCCAACTAAGGGCAAACTGGAAGTTTTACATATGGTGGTGCTGAAAAGTTTCTTCTTCACACAAATGTAGTTCTGGATCATTTTTTCAATAAATAAATAAAGTATAATATTTTTAACCAATTTATTTAATTGGTTTCCCTTTACCGAGTTTTAGAACGTGTGGAGAACAGATGTTTTATTTCATATTTATGCAGAAATACTGAAAATTCAAAAAGGTTCACAACCTTTAAACATCACTATGGATATTATACCTGCCTTTTAAGAATGAATCATGAAATTATGACATGATTTTAATCAAGTTTTGAATCTTTTGCATGACCAATCAAATATTGTGTGGTTGCGCGACAGCTCCCGCAGTACCTGAATGAAACTGTCTATCTAGATTCGTGCCAGTCCGGCTTCAGGCCTGGGTACAGCACGGAAACGGCATTGGTCGCATTGGTTGATGATCTCTGGAGGGCTCGGGAGAGGGGTTGCTCCTCTGTTCTGGTCCTATTAGACCTCTCAGTGGCTTTTGATACCATCGACCATGGTATCATACTGCACCGGCTGGAGGGATTGGGGGTGGGAGGTACCGTGTTGCGGTGGTTCTCCTCCTATCTCTCCGACTGGTTGCAGTCTGTGTTGGCAGGGGGGCAGAGGTCGACCTCGAGGTGCCTTGTTTGTTGGGTGCCGCAAGGGTCGGTCCTCTCGCCACTCCTGTTCAACATTTATGTGAAGCCGCTGGGTGAGATCATCCGTGGATTTGGGGTGCGGTGCCATCTGTACGCTGATGATACTCAGCTGTACATCTCCACTCCAGACCGCCCCAATGATGCCCTTGAAGTGATGTCTCAGTGTCTGGAGGCCGTGACCGAGTGGCTGTGGATGCCGGCGTCCCGATATAGCCAGCTGGTGCCATCGCTGGCTATTGGGGGCGAGTCATTGACCCCCACAGAGGGGGCTCGCAACTTGGGTGTCCTCCTGGATACACGGCTGTCTTTAGAAGAGCATATGACGGCTGTGGCCAGGAGGGCTTTTTATCAGGTTCGCCTGATACGCCAGTTGCGCCCCTTTCTGGATCGGGACTCCTTATGCAGTCACGCATGCCCTAGTCACTTCTCGCCTGGACTACTGTAACGCTCTCTACATGGGGCTCCCCTTGAGGAACACCCGGAGGCTCCAACTGGTCCAGAACGCAGCCGCGCGGGTGATTATGGGAGCGACCTGGCACTCCCATGTAACACCTCTCCTGCGCGAGCTGCACTGGCTCCCAGTGGTCTTCCGGGTGCGCTTCAAGGTATTGGTTCTCACCTTTAAAGCGCTCCATGGCTTAGGGCCAGGGTATTTACGAGACCGCCTTCTGCAACCGATAACCTCCCACTGGCCAATACGCTCTCACAGAGTGGGCCTCCTCAGGGTGCCGTCAGTCAAGCAATGTCGGCTGGCAGCCCCCAGGGGGAGAGCCTTCTCTGTGAGGGCACCCGCCCTCTGGAATGAGCGCCCTCCCATAATACGACTGATCCCGGACCCCTGTACTTTCCGCAAGGCCCTGAAGACTTTTTTATTCTACCAAGCCGGCCTAGCCTAAAAGGTCTTATGGGTTAGTTTTTTAAATTGTATAGATGTGGGGTTTTAAATTGGGAGGCCGATCGATTTAATTTATTTTAGTTATTTTTAACTTTTATATTATATGTATCTTAATTCCGGCTGTCCACCGCCCTGAGTCCTTCGGGAGAAGGGCGGTATATAAATTTAAATAAATAAATAAATAATACTGTTCTAAGTAAACAATGAAATGTACTTCAAGCTTATTTACCGGAATTTGTTGACTATAGTAACATTCAAATCTATCAAAATACTATTTTTCAAACTCCCTATCAGATATATTCTCAACTAAATAATTCTAATATGAGTTGTTTCAAAATGAGATGGGCAGCAAATAAAATAAAATAAAATAAATAAATAATAAAATTTCTATTGTTATACTTAACATGTTCCAATAAATTCTCTTTACTTCCAAAAAAATATTCTACTGGTCCAAAATAATATTTAAATAGATCATTATCAAAAGGTTCACATTGTCTAAATCAGGTGGAAAAAAATTGAGGGTTTTAATTTAATTATTGTTTGGAACGCCTTTAATAAACACATTCATGGCTGAATTATTTTATAATGCTTCACAGAAATAAGAAGACAAAATCTGGAAAAATGATGAGCTTTTGAATGCTATTGACACTCACACTGGAAATGGGAGAGGCAAGAAACAGACAGGGGCCCAACTGGAAACGTCATGGCTAAAAGCATCCTTGTCAAAGACCCTCCAGCCACACCAAGCGTTGCCCTCGTCCACTGGCAATTCACACTTTGAACTAAACTTTGGGACAAGCATCTTGTTTTTTTTAAATTAAGGCTGCACAAAACCATGTTTTACTAGATCTGTGAAGAATAACAAAAGGGAAAATTATACTTAACCTTCAAAAAATGCCCAAGCATTGTGTTTTTCCTCATCCAAAAAACGGGATGGAAACACTGAAAAAGAAAGAAGTAGGTGATCATCTGCGCAAAATAATTTTGCATCTAAAAAGTAAATCTAACATCAACTTTCACTTAATTTGGAAACTCTTTAGAAATTATAATTCTGCACATAAACGTCTGTCACATTTTAAGTCTGTGTCTCATGTCACACAAGATTTTAAAACATTACATTATTTTTGGCTGATTCTAAGGTTAAAGATAGACCTCTTCAGATGAGCCAGAGCTACTTGCTACTTCCTCTTATTCCGACTGATCATTCAGTTTGGCTGTTTTTCTGTCACTTTCTGGTTTGACTTGTATAAATAACCATTAATTCCAATTTAATGACACTTGTACAGACAATAGTGGACGTCTCTTCTACTTTTTCCAATATTTTGTAAATTCTCCTGCAATTTTATATTTTGTAAAGTTTTATTCTTTTTCTCTTTCCTTTGTCCCCTCTAATTCTTTTTTTTTCAATTTTTCAATTCTTTTACATTAAAAAGATGTCATAATGGAACCTGAAATGTTTCCATAAATATTAAAGAGAATCCATATAGCATCACCAAAAAGAACAACTGAAAATAATCAAGGAGACTAATCAACTAATCAAGAAACTAATTAAGAAGGGAAGCAACCTAGAACTATGGAGAAATTTTCTGACAAGGGAGAACAATTAAGGAGTGGAACAGAAGTTGCCTCCAGAAGTTGTGGATGCTCCGGCACTCGAGGTTTTCAAGAAGAGAGCGGACAGCCATTTGCCCAGAGTGGCTATAGGGTCTCCTGCTTGCGCAGGGGGTTGGACTAGAAGACCTCCGAGGTCCCTTTCCTACCCTATTATTCTGTTTAAATCTGTCTAAAGGGGTACAGGGGATATGGAATAGATTTGATACAGGGACAGGGTATTTTCATGAACACTGTTTGAAACTGATTTCAAGAACTGGAGAAATTCATTCAGCGTACTACACATTTTATCTCCTTTTAAAAATCCCAAACGACACTGCAGAGCCTGAGTTGCTCTTTCCTGTTGCTCATCACCTGGGTCCTGGGGTGGGGGTGGGGGGGATTGTCCCCCAGAAGTCAGCCAAATTCCTGAAAGATAAGCAGGCAGGTAAATGGGAGCAGCAACGCAGGGATCCCTTTGGAAGAACCAAGATACCGCATAGACCATCCCCAGGGTCAGCTGGGGATCATCCATCAGCAAAAGAGAAAACAAGGAATAATGTGTCACATCAAAATCCGTGACCTGAAAATTGCACAGAAGTTACAGCTCCACCACATGCAGTCATGGGCTTTTTTTAGAAGAACGGCCGCTTTAGAGCGGAGCTGAAGCCGGGAACCCACCAGCGATGGCAGAGCTAAAGAAAGTCAGCTGGTGGCTGAGCTGGGCTGAGGGAAGGGAGGGGAAGGTGACCACATATATCATTTCAGTTGTGAAGCATGTAATTTTCCTCCTCCCTATTCTTATAATTGCTTCCACCATCCTGAAATTAATGGGGAAAAACATTAGTCATTTCTGAAAAAACAAACACGGCATAGTTTTGCATTTTAAGTTCTCTTAAGTCACGTCTAGAGGAATAAAATGCAACGTCCACCTAATGCTTACTTGACTGTCCTTCCCTGAGGATCTTGTGCGTTCGACCACAAGGGTCAGCTCATTCATACGGCTTCACACCACACAGGGCATCACACATTCCGATCAGACTTCGACGTACCACTAGGGCCAGGGCTCCGCAACCTTCAACACTCAAAGAGCCATTTGGACCCGTTTCCCACGGACAAGAAAACACGGGGAGCCACAAAACCTGGGTGGGGGCGGCCTACTCCCACCCAGTCACGCCTTCCCAGGTTTTGTGGCTCCCGGTGTTTTCCGTGGGAAATGGGTCTCTCTTTCTCTGCCCCTCCCTCCCTTTCTCCCATTTCTCTTTTTCCTCTCCCTCTTTTTTTTTCTTTCTTTTTTCTCTTTCTTTCTCTCCTTCTCTCTCTCTTTTCCCCTTTCTTTTCCCTCTTTCTCTCCCTCCAGCTCTCCTTTCTCTCTTTCTTGTGTGCGCATGCGCACGAGCGAGGATGCCCTCTGTCTTGCACGAGCAGGGATACCCAGCACAAGCGAGGGGCCGGGCCGGGCTCGGCCAAAGCACAGCAAAGGCGTGCGGAGCGGGCAGGTTGACCAGCAGACGGGCGAGAGTCTTTGGCGAGGGCGCTCCGGCTTTCTCCAAGCGTGATCCCCGGAGTGGGCGTGCAAGGGTCGGTGGGGACAGCCCCATTTTCCTGCTGCCCTGAGCTTCTTTACTCCGAGGAGGCTGGCCTTGCTGAACCTCGCACGCCCACACCGGGGATCAGGCTGCACTTTAGCTGAGCCCAGCCACTCACTTGAGGAGGGCATCTCTGCTTGTGCGCCCCCTCCCAGCCCCTCAACAGCTGGTCAAAGGGGTCACACGAGGAGGGTCATCTTCGGGGAAGCCGCCACTGCAGCTCATGCTCACTCCTCAGCTGTGGGCGTGTCCCCCTTTCCATCGTACCCTCCTCCCAGATCCCATTCCCACCCTGCCAGCCCTCAGGTTAGCGAGGTTGGCATCAGCCACAGCCAATTTGGGCCAGTGTCTCAGGACGGAGAGCAGGTTGCGTGGCCGGGTCGGCAGGGAGCTGCAGGAAAGGGGCCAAAGAGCCACATGCGGCTCCAGAGCTGCAGGTTGCCGATACCCGAACTAGGCAAAACTGAAAAGACACAGAGTTTTTATTGAAACACAACGATTAGAGAAGTTCAGATATGTATGCACCTATTTTATATATATATATATTTGTGAGATTTCACAAATTCTCTAATTTATTAATTTTTTTGCCAGATGTGGGTTGTGGTAAGCACATATTCAATCTGTATTTATTTTTCTGGCTCACAATAAATATGAGCACGTATATGAATGTATCTTTTTTTTAAAAAAAAAAGAAAATTGAGTCTACAACTGCAATCCATTTTTTTCTCTCCCTTTGTTAAAAGCATTGTCTGTGTGTTTGGATGTCAATCACTTTGCACAACAATCTCTTTGTTCTCCTTTCTGTTTAAAACTTCAGGAGAAAACGAAGGCGGATGCTAACCATTCCAGGTCAGACCAAGACAGAAAACACTGTTTGTGCCTTGGCAACCCAGAGACAATCTGTCCATGGGAATCAGCAATGTCCGCAGACAAAGTGGTTGCATCACAACTCTTGTATAGTTTATTTTGATTAGTCAGTTGAGCAGATCAAACCATTCCTTTGTAAACACGTGGGTGTCAACGCAGGCCCCAAAGGGATGGCCTTCCACGGGGATTCTGCTATGACCACCTTGCCTGTTTCAATGTCTTGAGGATGCTTCCACAGAGGAAGCTCAAAGCTTGATTACACAAGTGCTTCACACAACCAATTTTTGGTTTCATAAAGAGGAAAAGCACCAGCACACAACGATGGGGGAAAGGTGAGGTAGATTCAGAAACGGCAGAATATGAGCTCACGTCAGGGGATAACGGCAACAGCCATTATAACCGGAAGAAGATTTGCACGTCTACTTCATGGACCACAGGAAAGCCTTTGGCTGTGCAAAACAGGCCAGACACAAAGGCCGCTCAGGTTTATGAGAGAACACGTGAATATCCTTCTGGGGAACCTTTATCACAAACAGGAACCTCCCGGAAGGTTCACGGGGAAGGTGTTGGTGCCGTTTTGATTCGTTATGTGGCTATGGCAATTTTATTACTGCATGTTTGAGTTTTATAACGTTTAACCTCTGTTTTGGAAATCATCTAGAGAGCTACACATTTAAATTGAGGTAAATAATTTGCTGTTTATTTTTCCTGAACCGAAGACCAAGGGAACCTTGATCACCCTGCTTCTACAGCTCCTGGATCTGGGGGGTACTGAGCGAGGAGGCCCCTGGGGAAAGTTAGGCCTTCAGAATGTCTACGGAGATTCTCCGCCATCCAGGTCCCGGTTGTCCCAAAGGAGCTTTTTCAAGAGGCAACTGGGCTTTCTTTGTTTTTCCTTGAAGACGTTTCGTTTCTCATCATCCAGTTGCCTCTTGAAAAAGTACCTTTGGGTTCAACCTGTAGACTAGACCGGTCTGGGGAGTAAAAAAAAAAGGGGGGGGGCATCTCAAAAGAATGGTGAGCCCAGTGGAAAACCTGAGAGAAAATACAACTTGGCTCCATTTCCGGGTGAAAATTCCTTGCACCTACACAGACCACATGTGCAAGTCTCAAGCATGGCTAGAGGACGTGGAAAATGCTTTCTCTTAAACTGCTTTTCCTTCTGTGGAAGAAGGCAGCCATGGCAGATGTGGCTAAGCACTCTCTTCCAATCTCCCCGCTTGCGTGAGATTCACAGCCCTGCAAGATGAGGCTGCATTTTCATTTCTAAAAGGCTGGGAAGATCATCCAGGCATTTTTCCTTTAGTTGTCCCAGAGCCAAGCGAGGCTGGAGCCCCCAGCAGATGTTCCACTTCCAGCCACCGCTGCAGCTGCACGGGTGTCCCGGATCCAGCAAGGCTGGGCTGCTCCCTCCCTCCCAGGGTGGGCGGGCAGGGTGGGGGAATGGGCTGGTCGTCTTGCTCAGGAGAAGATGTGAACTCTCAGAAGAAGCCCGAGAAAATCAGAACCGTCGCCACGTGACGTAGCCAGAGGTTGGCCTGCGGTCTCTACCCCCCAGAGCAGCCCGACTTACAGAGTGTGGTCAGCTCAGATTCTGAGGGTAGAACAACTTCTTCTCTAGAACAACTGAGAATAGAAGACCCATCTTCCACAGCTGGAAATTCCTGATCTGCTGCTGAAGGAGACCCCTCCCCTCCTCTTTGACCCTTAAGGGCATCATTTGGGTCACCATGGGATCCAGCTGCAGCTCACCCCATCCATCTGTTCATGCCACCCTTATTTCTGATGCCCCTGGACTCCTGGGGCCAGACTCAGAGAGGAGAACCCAACTCTGGGGCCACACGCCCTTCCCCACCTAATACACCGCTCCGTCCTTGCACAGAGGACCTGGGTTGCCTGAGCCAGCCCGGGTGGAGGAGGGCTGCTGACATCTGCAGTTCTGCCAGGGAGCCGGATTTACTGCTGGTCTTTAAAATGCTTCGCTATGGGAAAAGGAGAGTTCACGTGGCCGGGCTGGCTGGCTGCACTGCCTATTTTTACAGGCAAGTAGCCACGAGGAACACGCCAACTTTAAGCTTGCACTGCTGGTGTTGTTGAGGCTGCTGAATTCAGGTGTGGATTGAAAATACAGAAATTGTCATCCTGTGACTCTCGAGGGTTCCCTCTCAACACATTTTCTTTCTTTCTTTCTTTCTTTCTTTCTTTCTTTTCTTTCTTCTTTCTTTCTTTCTTTCTTTCTTTCTTTCTTTCTTTCTTTCTTTCTTTCTTTCTTTCTTTCTCTTTCTTTCTTTTTATTCCTTCCTTCCTTCCTTCTCTTATAGGAAGCGATTTCGTGTTTCTTTGTGATCACCCCACTAAACCAGAAATCAAGTTTCAAAAAATCAACGTATCCCTTCATGGGCTTTTTGTGCTTTTTTTTTAAAAAAGTATTTCTTACTGGTACTTATTTTGAAATCATCTTCTCTAAAAAAGAAAGAAAGAAAAACTTTGGTAGATCGATAGCAATGAGCTGCTTATTACCAAATCTACTTTTGTAGCCCTGGGATGAAAAACTAGGAAATCAGGGTTTGTTCTGAGTTCCCATGATTTCTTATAGCCAGAACACTCAAAATGTTTTGTTTTGTTCCACACAGAATAGGAAGCACCCGTGTGTTCTGGGTTCTTTTTCTCCTAATGAAAATGTTTTACCCCAGTGTAAAACAAAACATACGTTCCATTTAATGTGAATTCCTAGTTGCAACAGTTCACTTGCTCCGTTGTTCGTTCTGTTGTGATGAGGTTTGTAGTTCTACATTTCACTCGTGCCAAGACCCCCTCCTTTCATCCAGCCTGCCAGAAGAGGGCTGCCCACAATTCCAACCAATAGTAAAATTAAAAGCTCTCTGCCCAAAGTACAGTATTATGCTCAAATATGAATGTCTCCCCTAAACCCAGCCTTTGTTTGGTAACATCCTGCTTGCTCAAAAAATTTTTGCATGGACACACACATACACACCTCATGTTATGCAAAGTCATAGGAACAGATTATGGATTTTATGAATTTATGGAAGTTGCTTTTATGTAAATAAATAGTAAGATGAGGATCTTGGTATGTGTATACTTGTGGCAAATAAAGACACAAGTATTGTTGAAAGATATCATGGGAAGGAGCTATTTCCCTCGACAAAGAGATTCACTCACTCACTCACTCAAAAGTATCATAATATACTTAACGCCCAAATCAACCCACCGTTACTAATAAGGGATCCTACAAAAGAAAAGGTATTATTGCCTTCTTTGGCTTTCTGTTTTTAAATAATGGATGGTAACTGTCTTCCACCAATATGGTCAAATCTTAGGCCTTCTGGATGAATGCTCTGCTCTTTCTGAGGTAGTACAGTTAGGCAACCATCCTGCGTGGATTGCAAAGCAAAACCTCCTGTGTTATTTGCTCACCTTGGACTTCAGTAGAGGCACTTCCATTGGACCAGGAAGTCCACTTGTTCCTTTGCTTGCTGATCTCTTGAACTTTGCAAATATAGTGTCCTTGTTCGGCTTGCTGGATATTCAGGATCAAAAATGTGTACATCGTCCTGTGTTTCTCCTCAAGAAGATGAAGCCTTCGCTTATAGAAGCGACTTGTGTAATTTCCATAGTACTGGACGACCCCAAACTTGGTCATTTTGATCATCAGGTATTCCTGGGCAGAGGGGAGAGCAAAAACCCACCGGACAGCCAAAAGGTTTTCTCTTCGCCTTTTTTGAGAAACATGGCAGAATAAAGTAACATTATCTCCAATGAGATGCTGTATTCTGGGTCCCGGAGAGACGGTCACGTTCAGAGCTTCACAAATCTCTACAAAGCCAAAAACAAACTCTCAGCAGTGCAACACCGTATCATTCGTTTTAGGTCTTATCTTAACCCCTATCTAACAAAATTACAACTCCTTTTTTTTTAAAAAAAATGGAAAAAATATTTTATGTTATGGGTTATCAGAGAAAAACTGACTCAATTCATTTTTTCCCCTTATTACAGACATATTTATCCCCAAACTTTGGTATTTTTTCCTCCTAAGGCATCATGTTGAACCTTATTGGACTTTTAAAAATTCTTCCACTGTATTTATGCTTAGGTAATTTTACTCTCCAAGTAGGGGTGTCCAATCTTGACGACTTTAAGACATGTGGACTTCAACTCCCAGAGTTGTGCATGTTGGTAATTTAGGATTCTGCGCTCCTTTAAGCTCTTTTAAGCACTACTCAATGATGGCCACAAGAAGAAGTTTGGAGAAAAGCAAGATATAGATGATAACAATTGCTTGGTCTAGTTTGGTGTAGTGGTTAAAGTGCTGACCTAGAAAGCAGGGTGCCGTGAGTTCTAGTTCTAGTCTTGCCTTAGGCACGAATGTCATTAAGGCGACTTTGGGCCACTCAGTTGCTCTGACAGGGTTGCCGTTGTGAGGAAAATAGGAGGAAGAAGGGTTTTTGGGTATGTTTGCCACCTTAAGTTACTTATAAAGTAATAAAGGTGGGATAAAACCCAAATAAACAAACCAAGTTATGGATAAGTATTGCCAGGCCTAACCAGTTTCAGAATGGTCACAGCAGGCACACTAGATACGCAAACGGGCCCATTAACTGGCAGCTGCATGCAGAGAAGCCTAAGGCCCGGCTAGGAACAGCAGCCCCCCAGCATGGAGGAGACCTGACACAAAAGGCCAGAGCTGCCTCGTCCCCAGACTCTGCGCCACCCCCACCCCCCCACCCCCCCCCCCACCCCCAGGTGCTGGAAGCTCCCAAAAGCTGCCCAGCAGCTCCAAATCAACCAGTCAAGTTGCAAACCACCCCCCCCCCCACACACACACACATCCGTTCCGCCCAAAAGCCTGCCTGCCTAATGGAGCCCAGATAATCAGGATAATAGCCCTGAGGTGCCAGAATTGCAGGCCCTTGACTGCTTTAGATGGAACTGGCTCATTTCCTGTATTTTTCTTTCTTCAACCCACAGACCAATTGAAGCCGCCAACCTTGGGAGGCCTCCGGGGACGCAGAGCAGATCCTGACCCCAAACCCGAGTGCAGGTCTTGAACTGCCCCCCCCCAACCACAAGCCTTTCTCTGGCGCCCATCCCCCTTCTCTACTCCTAACCTCCACCCGCAGAAAAGGGCGGCAGGGGAGAAATTCCGCCCCAGAGACCCTCCACCGGTTTTCCAAGCATCCCCCTCCCCTCCTTGCCTTGGTTTCCCATTAAAACAAGGGCTGAAGAAAGGGGAGGGGGCACAAGCCCCGTCTCCTGTTGGAAGCCCCGATGAGCAGGAGGCCGACTGGTAACAGCCGAGCATCTTCGCCCACAGGCGCCGGGCACTGGCTTCCTTTGCTTCCAGTCGCCGCTAGGCAGGCAGCGCTGGGGAGCGGCGGGCTCTTTTCCCCTCCAGAACCATTTAGCAGCGCGGCTTGAATGCGCTCGCTCAGTTAGGGAGGCTTTTACATTTGGAGGCGGCAAGCGACGCTCCCTGGACGTCTCCGAAGAGGAGCTCCTCAGTTCCAGCCTGCGGCTCAGCTGCTCCGCGCCGCCCTTCTCCTTCAAGAGCCGGGCGGAGGTCTTTGGGGTCCCCACAGAAGCAGCCCTCTCCTTCCCCGAAGCGCCTCCGCCGCCACGGAGCCCAGCGCTGCTCCCGCGGGGAGAGCTCCGCCGGGGCCAGGACGGGCGCGGAGCTCCTGCCGCCCCTCCCTGCCGCCCTGCCGCCCCCTTACCTGCCCAGGGCGCGCCGGCCAACAGCGCCAGCAGCGCCAGCAGAGGCATCGCGGAGGGCTGCCAGGCTCCCGACCGCCTCGCCCCACGAAGCGGCCTCCCTTCCCGGGCCGCGCCACCCCGGGCAGCCTCGCCGGAAGACCCCGCTGGCCCGGCTCCGCGCAGAGCCCCCGGAGCGCTTCCAGCCGCCGCCGCCGCCGCGCTCTCGGCGAGGGCGGGCCGGGCGGAGGGAGGGCAAAGCCGGCAGGCGCCGCCTTCCGAGCCTCCCCCGCGCCGGCCGGCCGGCCTGTGGCATCCCGCGTCCCGGCGCAGTAGCCGAGCGAGGCTCCGCGAAGGGCGGCGGGCCGCTGGAAGCTCGCAGCCGCGGCCGCCCGGCTTGCCTGGCGGGGCAACGCTGGCCTTGGGGGCTCCTTTGAGAAGGCGGCGTGGCTGGCCGGGACCCAGCGATGCGCCGCTCCCTCCCTCCCTCGCCGGGGATGGGGCGGCCGCTTCCAGGGGCTCCTCCGGCGGCCAGACTGGGCCCGCTGCCCTCAAACGGCTCACTCCCGGGTCGGGCGAAGCGGGGAAGGTTGTATGGCAACGCTCCGCCCTCCCGCTGCAGGTGTCACGGTTAGCCTCCTGAGCGCCTCTGCCCTCCCGGTCTGGGCCTGGTGGAGCTTCTCAAAGGGGAAGCTTTCCTTCCCCCACGCAGCCCTTCGGGTCCCACGCTAAATCCGTCCGGTTTGCAGGCGGTTCCATCCACAGCAGCAAAAGCAGAGGCCTTTGCAAGGAGGGGGTTAGGGTTAGGCAATATGAATGCTTGCCTTTTGGAGACAGAGTCTGCATTTTTCTTACAAAATATGAAGTTGGACTGAGTGGCCCACATAAATCTGTCTGGAGGAGAAAAAGAGTATTTCCTAGAAAGCATACAGTATGCGATTGTTAAAGCATTGATTTGGAACCAGAGGTATCAAATTCCATTCTGGTTGATTCGGGCCCAGTGTCTCTCAGCACAATTTATTTCCCCAGTTTGCTAAGGAATAAAATGTGGGGAGACCCACATGTACCCAGCCTTGAGCTGTCAGAGAAGAGATGCCATCAATAAAGAGGAACCTAGTTTTCTGTGTGTCCAAAGAGGGCGGTCAGGGAGCATTGCACAGTTTTTGGTTGTGCTCAGAAGCTTCTCCTTAGCGCGCCTGACATATCATTGATTGAGATTATCACATCACCACTTGGCTAACACATATGCTGATGACAAGGGCTAGGAAGCTTTGCTGCTTTCTTAAAAATCTGGATAAAATAAATTACTTAATGCTACTTCAGAGTAGGAAAGCACTATAGAAAAAAAGAATGGGAGTAAAAATTGTAGTCGGAGAGTTTGTTTCAGCAACTGCACAAACACATGTGTTTCTCATCATGGCAAGGGGCCTGCTCTGTTTTGGACTGGGCTCTTTCCAGCATTCAGTTGAAATCTGGCAGGAGGGCCCAGTAACTCCACACTTAAACGGCTGACTCACCAAATTATGCAGGATGCCATTAGATGTGGGAGATGCTTTTCTCAGGCTAGAGTTTAGACCAAATCCATCTGGAAGAGAGAACCAGAGGGGGAGGGGGCGCTAAGGAAGCCCAGGGGGAGGAGTTTGGATCACCCTGCCTGCTTTTGTTGGGAACGAAGAGCTGCAAATGAAAGTAGAAGGCAAAAGAAAGCAAAGAGAGTACCAAGAATAATAGGCGCCTTGCGTGCAATCCCAGAACAACTGGAGCACCACTTGAACACCTTCCCCCTCGGTCAATTGCGAAAGGCAGCTGTACATCCTGTGACACCATCAAGCATCTGCCTCTCCCAAATCCTTGGGAAGGACTCCAAAGACGGACAAAAAAAGCCAAATCTAGTCTGAACATCTGGCTGACTGGGCAACCAACCACGCAATAGATTTGCTGCTGCAGCCCCGTTCCAAAGGCAAAAATGCAGGGACAGTCAATGAACTGGCTGCAGTCTTTTAAAATGAGATTCATGTTTTAGAAATTTTGGTTGCCGGGTCGGAAGACACAGATTTAAAACTTGCTTCATTCAAAAAGAATTCCTCTTCCCTTATTCTTCAAGCTCCTCTTGGAAGACCCTCATGGTCTCTGCTGTGTTAGAGCCTCACCTTGGTTTGTCACAGATTTTATTATAGTACAAAAAGATCCGCCCCTGTTAACTGATCTCCGGTGTATTGAAATTGCTGTTGCAACAAAAGTGGAGCCAGAAAGCCCTTCTAAAAGCAAAAGAAAAGGACAGGGCAGCTGAACTGCAACTGCTAAGGTGCTTCCTTGGTTCTTTATTTATTTGGCCATCCAATCAGTTTTTGGCGCCTGCTGACTGCCCGAACTGGTCCCTGCCGTTTTCTTGGCAAGGTTTTTCCCAAATGATTGGCCGTTACCTCCTTCCTGGGGCTGAAAGGATGGGACTGGCCCAAAGTCATGCGGATGGCTTTGTGCCTCACAGTCTGCTGCTTTCTGGCTCGTCAGCCTCCCTGTTAGCCTCGGCCGGGCTCTGCTTTCGTGGCCTCGGGGGCCCCTGGGCCAAACCAGAAAGAGGACTCTCAGCGCTTCTCTCTGCAGAAACAGGGAGCCCCGTCTTGGGACAGGGGTCCAAATCAAAACCTTTGCACAAAATGTTTCTCTGTCATTTATAAGTGGTGGACCTACGTGATTTCTTTCACAAGGTTAGTCTTTACCTTTGGTTGGTTACATTTGCCCTTTTTGATACAAGATCACATTTGTTGTATTTAGCACAAGAGGCCAACCTAATCCTATCGTGGTCAGGAGTTTCCTGCTGCTGGTCTGTAGATAGTTTGTCAGTTTCGCAAGGGAGCCGGCAAAGAAGCGGGAAGATAGACAACCCGGTGGCTAAGCTAATCTATTTGAACTTTTTGTGACTTGTTTCTACCTAATTTGATCAATTCCTGGATGATTTGGTTTTGAAGCATTAATGGAGACCTTGTCTTGGTGAGTGGGATTCCTTTCCTGCAGAAGTTTCCGCTTTTGCTGCTGAGCCTCTAGGATTTAAAGGGGGCTTTCCCTGTTTGAAAGGGAAATTGTTTTGTATTCTTAAACTCTTATCAAGCTATCATTGCCACACCACAGTGGGTCTCCCGGAGATCTTGCGGCTGAAAGGCTTCCTTGAGGTAGAGGTTTGGATTCAGCCTACCAAATGCCCTGCGAAGTCCTGGGAGAGGCGTGTTCAGAGTATTTTCATAGAAGAGAAGTGGAGACATTTCCCCTGACTGGCTCCCATGTCCACATCAGAGGTTAAGGGCCTCATTTCACCAGTCAAACCCTGGAGAGGCCCAGGACTGGAGATTGTGAACTCCACAGGGGCTGCCCTGTCCACCCCCACCCCACAGCCCCAGTTCCACCGTGAGAGTTGGGTACCCCCTGTGGGCAGCTCTCTGGAGCAGTCACTATTCAGAGGTGGGGGAGCCAAGGGTGTATTGTGGCACCTCTTCTTTTTAATTTCCACCTATCAGCCCATTGATCCAGGCCCCCTCGGGCTGACCTCGTGATGTCACACACGCTACAGGCCAAGGAGTTCCAGGAACCTCATATGAATAGGAATACATTTCATCTGAATTTCATACCACGCTCATAGCTGTCTCTCTCAGGTGGGATGGAGAAGGGCCCTGAGAGCTTTGGCCGCCTTCTGTTCAAAGGAAAAACTAGGAATAAAATGTTAGAAAACCTAAAGTTCTAGTATTTGCCTAAAAGCATCCTAACTTTCATAATTGGCAAATTAATGGGAATGTTGTGGAACAAGCGTGTGCTTATAAATACCTTGGAGGGCTGTTCCAGATTTTGGGGAAGGTTTTTATAACTGGCAAGTGTTGCTCGGTGTAACTCCACAGCTATTCTGAGATTTTTCCATTGG